TGTCGGGGCTGTGATATAGAGGTCGCTGATCGTCTGCTTCCCTTTTCTTTTGTATTGATGGATATGTCTGCGTTTGAGGGTTACTGTATATACCTTGAGCGGAGATTGTTTTCATTTCTTGGGAGATCGGGTTGGTAGAGTCTTACCACCGGTGTATGATCCGCAAGGGCGGAGTGAGCTTAGTTGTCTTCTCGCTAGATTTATGAGTAGTGAGTGTGATGAGACTCAGACTGAGTTGCCAATAGTGGTTTGTGAGTACTCGGATGTCTTTTCTAAGGATCTTGTTAGCTTACCACCCCATCGAGAGATCGAGTTCTCTATTGACTTAGTGCCTGGCACGACACCGATTTCCATGGCACCGTATCGTTTTGTCCCAGCCGAGTTGAGTGAGTTGAAGATTCAACTCCAAGAGTTGCTAGATAAGGGTTTTATTTGCCCTAGTACTTCGCCTTGGGGAGCACCAGCCCTCTTTGCTAAGAAGAAAAATGGGGCTTTGAGACTTTGCATTGATTACCGAAAGTTGAACCAGGTTACGGTTAAGAACAACTACCCTATGCCTCGTATAGATGATCTGTTTGATCAGTTGAAAGGATCCCGTTGTTTCTCTAAGATAGACTTGAGATCGGGTTACTATCAGTTGAGGGTCAGGAAGGAGGATATCCCGAAGACGGCATTCCGTACGCGGTATGGCCATTATGAGTTTCTGGTGATGCCTTTTGGGCTTACCAATGCACCGACTGTGTTCATGGACTTGATGAACCGGATTTTCTAAGAGTTCTTAGACCACTTTGTAGTCGTCTTTGTTGATGACATTCTGATTTATTCACCTTCTGAGGAGGAGCACGAGGAACACTTGCGAGTGGTGCTTGAGTTACTTAGAGCCCATAAGCCATATGCTAAATTTGGGAAGTGTGAGTTCTGGCTAAGAGAAGTTAAGTTCTTAGGCTATGTGGTATCCGAGGAAGGGGTGACTGTAGATTCATCCAAGACAGAAGCAATGCAGGATTGGGCATAACCTAAGAATGTCTTTGAGATCCGTAGTTTTCTGGGATTGGCCGGGTATTACCGTCGGTTTGTGAAAGATTTCTCCAGGCTAGCTTCGCCTTTGACTAGATTGAAGCGGAAAGGGGTCAAGTTTGTGTGGAGTGAGACCTGTGAAAAGTCGTTCCAAGAACTTAAAGTTAGACTTACCACCGCTCCAATCTTGATTATTCCAGAGAGGGGTTTAGGTTATGCAGTGTATTGTGATGCCTCACGAGAGGGTTTGGGTTGTGTATTGATGCAAGAGGGGAAAGCAGTAGCCTATGGCTCATGTCAGTTGAAAACACACGAGAGGAACTACCCTACTCACGACCTAGAGTTAGCAGCTATAATTTTTGCCTTGAAAATTTGGAGGCACTATCTGTATGGTGAGAGGTTTGAAGTATTTTCTGATTACAAAAGTCTAAAGTATCTGTTTACACAGAAAGACTTAAATTTTGAGGCAGAGAAGGTGGATGGAGTTCATAGAAGATTATGACTTCGAGTTGTATTATCATCCAAGAAAGGCCAATGTTGTGGCCGATGCCCTAAGTAGGAAATCCATTAGTGATGTAGCTTGTATCGCTATCCGAGAATGGGAGATGTTGGGTGCTCTTGGTGAGTTCGATTTACATCTGGGTGAATTTGTTGAACCTGCAGCCTTGTTTTCTATAGTTGCACAACCTACACTTGTGAACCGAGTGTTAGAGGCACAGAAGGGTGACTTCGAGGTAGAATCCCTCCGGGAGAAGATCTCCAGTGGGAAGGTGTAGACACCCCATTTTTGACCGTCCTCAAGACTTGGACGTCACCGCTTGAACACTCGGTGATCATCCATGTTTGTGTTCGTCTTGAGTTCCCGGAGGTCTCGGCTACGCTCCTTACTCAGGATCTCTCGACTCGACTGTTTTGTGTCTGGTTTTGTGTTTTCCCTTGGAGGGGCAGGGAATGGCTTGTGGGCCATCCCCACACTCCACCGGCCATGGCTTGAGGCCATCGGCTATTGTAGACACCCCATTTTTGACCGACCTTAAGACTCAGACGTCACCGATTGAGCGCTTGGTGATGTTGCATAATGTGCTCGTTCAGAAGTTTCAGAGTCGCGGCCGTGAGCCCTGCCTCCGGACTTCCGAACCCTCTTTTGTACCTTGCCTC